AACTATGCCTCAAAATATGTTATAATGAGAAATGCATCCTTTTTCATAGAAATACTTTTAATGTTTCTTCAGGAAGAAGAACCAAGTATTACATGTGAATACTAACTGAAGGAAAAATGTTTTTTTGCTACAGTTTGTGATTTACCCTTGCCCCTCCTGTAAGACTGTTCATCACACACTTCAGAATATCCTTATTTTTGACAGTGTAATTGTTTTCTTATACAACTATGTGTGATACATCCAGGTAAATGAATTACTTCTCTACATAGTACTAATGATTTTTTAATGTACTGCACTACAACAAAATCGTTTACCATGGGGACTTTTTACTGGCTTCAACTTAACACAGGCTATTGATCCAATGGGTTGTTTGATATCAGTAATACCGTGATGGCATCTCCCATCTGTATTCCTTATTGGTCCCCTCTTCCCATAGTGACATTGCAGTACTCCAGAAGAATTGGTCACTGGAGGTACTGTGGATCCAGTCTTGACTGGTAGTGCCAAGTGAGGAGGTGGGGGTGTGAATGTCTTGTGCAGTACTCCTCCATGGTTCAGGCCAGGGAAACAGCCCACACAGCAGAGAAAGGCTGATAAAACCATGGTCCTGTGGCATATGTGTCAGCAAACATCTTGACTTGAGGCTAGCAAAGAGGTATTTCTGCATACAAGTACTTTGTCTTCAGGACAGTCACAGAGACCAGTATTCACTGAATCATGAAAAAGGAAACAGCCTTCACTGACCCACTGCACATCTGGCAATACAGTCTTCCCTAAATGCTGTTCCTTTGTCAGTGCTCTGTAGTGAAGTGTATTAGTCTAGTCTTTAAGGTTTTCCTTTATTTCTGCCATTTATAACCGGTGGTGCGTTATTCTGGGACTCGCCCTATGGTGCAGAAAACAAATGATGCATCTGCTGAAGCCTTTGTTTTCCTGCCCAGGCAGCTGGAGCTGCTATTTCATAGCTCAGGTCTTCTGCAAAAGTCTGGTTTTCCTCATATCTCATAGTGTAGTCAAGAGATGCAAACATCTTCCTTCTGCATCAGTTCTTCTTTGTGGCTGGTGCCTCACATAGTCTTAAATCAACCAAGAGGAAATGATTGGTATCAGTATTACACTAGCCTATATAGACAATGTAAATCTAAGATTTTATGCCTGGTATTGGTCAGGAAATACTTTATTTTCCGAAGCTGCTGGGGTTTTTTTAATTTTTTTTTTAATTTTTTTTTTATTTTTTTTTGTTTCATTTTGTCATTTTTGTTTGTTTGCTTGTTGTTTTGTTTTTGTTTTTTAATTTACTAAAAGTCTGAAATCTTTCCAGGGATGTGGCTCATGTCTTTTGCATCCACTAATTAGTAAAAGTGAGAATAGTTTGAAATAGAAATGCTTAAAACCTGGTTCTTGCCTCTATATTTATATCTATAGCCAAACCCAGTAATTTCTTTTTGACATGAAAGCAAACATTGATCCCACAGAAGTTGATGAGAACAGTAGCTGTCATCAGCAACTATGGAAAATTAGTATTTTGTACAGAAGTGTTGCTGCTTGTATCTAGGGTATGTGTTAAACAAGCCATCATTATCAAAAGAGCTGTACACATTTCCCTGTTGATAGTAGTCTGTCAACTCATTGCCCAGAGGTTTATAGTCAGTAGGCCACATAGCCTGGTAATGTTCAGTAGCTTCCAAGGTCTTGATGGACATACCAAGAAAAGAATAAGCTGGAGAGTTTAAAATGAATCTTGAAGCTGCATATAACTTTCTATTTGTCTCTGGTAGATCAGCATTTCCAGGAATGTAGTATCAGATGTTGCACCACACTTTTGAAAGAATATTAGAGGTAAAATGAAGAAGTTGCTTGCTTAAAAATGAAAGACAAACATGGTTTTCTTAATTAAGTACTTGAAGGCCTTTTGGACAAAATACCCCAAATTTAACAGAAAAAAAAGTGGTTCTGGAGTTATTCTCAGGTGGAGAACAAGGACAAGATTAAAACACTCCTTAAAAATGGGAGTTTCATTCTTCTGCTGTCTCTGTTCTATCTCTGGTAGAAGACGTTTCCAAACACCACACAGACTGTCCAGTATATTGTCTTAGCTTGCAAATGCTAACCAATCTTACAATAAAAACTGCCATTGGCAACAGCTGTAGATATGCCTGGGGGAAAGCTCTAAAAGACAAAAGACTAGAGGAAATACAGCGATGAGGTTACATGTCAGAATGCAGCCACAGCACATATATGCTGCAACACTAATTATGTACCTTTAGAGAGTGTAAATTGGTTAGATTAGTTTTCTTCTTCAGTAGATCCTTCTTTGCTGATTTGCTTTGAGCTTGTTTCCAACAATCAGCATACATAAATCACACTAAGATCTAATACGCAGAAAGTCACCACCGGATTTCATGAGAATTTATGGATTTCTGTATATAAATCATACATCCACCCTAATAGATTTGTAAATTTCTTTTACCCAAATTCCATAATAATGTGTCTCTCTGCTTCCAGGAGTACCGTTTGCAGTCCATATGAACTGCATGGTGTCTTTGTGGTTGCTTTCCATAGGTGTGTTCTGCATACCTCTCTACATCCCGTACAGCCTGACGGGAAAATGGCACTTGGGAAGAGGCGTCTGCAAGCTCTGGCTAGTTATGGATTATCTCCTGTGTCCAGCTTCAGTATTTAACATTGTTCTTATCAGTTATGACCGTTTCCTGTCAGTTACTCGAGCCGTAAGTACCGTGTTTACAGCTTTTTTGATTTTTTTTGTTGGAGGATTATATTCACCAACCTTTGCTATGTTCGTGAGTATAAGCCCAAAATTTAATTGAGATAATAGCTCTCAAAAATATACTGACACGTGGAGATTATTAGATATTTGCACCTAGATTGGATGAATATTCCTCATTGAGCATGCTCTAGCACAGAGCTAGTCAACCAGGACTTTTCTCACAATTTCTGCTTCACGTTGTGCTACTGCTTGAGGAAAAGCAGGCTCGGGGTAAAAAGAGTAAGGCACGAGACTAGTAAAAAAGAGGCAAGGAAAGAGGAAATTCAGAGTAAACTGGATTTGGTTTTGGATGTAAAATCAGGAATGGGAGGAAAAGGCAGTGAAGCTAAGGCAGTGAAATAAAGGACATCAGGGAGGATGTCTAGACCTGAGATGTGGCCACAAATAATCCTGGAGAAGACTGGGAGCAAGAGCAAACAGGCAGAGAATGGGGCAAGCGGTAGACTGCAATGATGGCCTGTAGAAATGTGGCAATAAAGTCCTCTTGGAGCAGAATCCCAAACTTCAGATGCACTCTGTCTCTGCTTTCTGCATAGCATCCTACACACTTTGTGTGTGCTTTATGTCTCGGGTAATGTCAAAAATGGAGGCCAGCATTTCTCACCAGCTATGCTGTTAGCTCAAGTGGCAGGGAATGTCAGGGAGAACTAAAGGTTCCAGCTCTTTTGTGGTGTGTGAGAGTGTCAACATAACATCATACAATAGAATTTCAGTCTTATTTTTGTCAATTGTAATTAATTCCACTTATTATAATTGCCTTTATATTAAGTATTATTATTTTATTTTATTTTAAGGAAAAAGTCTGGGAAATCAAACACCAAAACATCTGGTATGTAAGAAATGTTACACTGGAAAGCCAAAGACTCAGCATTTACAAAATGCAAAATTCAGAGCACATGCATGAATATGACATTAACTCGAACTTGTGTTTTCAATTGGATATCTAAACTCCCAGAATTGTTTACTCTGGGAGTAAATTGTCATCCTGGGAAAGGGGTGGAACAGGATGTGAACTGCAATATACCTCTCTGTCTACAGCATATAGTGGAAAATAGGTACTGGCCCTGGAGTGGTCGGAGAAGGAAGAAAAGGGGTGATTTTGTAGTTCATCAGATAAGGGCTGCATTGCAGAGCTGGAATCTATTCCTTCATTCTCATTAAGTGTCCAATAAGCAATTTTCTTAAAGGTGGGTGTTAAAACTATATGCCACATTTTCTGTTGACTTCTGTGATGCATACAGCATTATTTGTTTGCAAAATACTGCAAAAAGCACTGCAATTGCCAGTGAATGGGAGTTATGCTCTGAACAACTAGAAGGTGCTAATTACTCTGGAACTTCAGATCACAGGTGTCTCAAACAAGGCATACCAAATTACTAGGTACTGATGGATGATCATGTTACATACTCTGGACCATGATCCTTGTACAGCTACACTAACCTGCAAAGAGACAACCCTATGCTATGTGAACATCAACGAATTAAACATGCTTGGGTGAGCTTCAGCTGATCAGCAGAGTCACAGCTCTAAATTACCAAGCACTCTGATGACTTATTCTACTACTTCCCTTGGTTCCAAAATGTATTTCAAAAATCTGACCTTTTTCTTTCTTTTCCCCTTGCAGGTATCTTACAGAGCCCATCAGGGAATAACCTCCAACCCTGCCATCAAGATGGTGGCCATATGGATCTTAGCCTTTCTCCTCTATTGCCCAGCAATCCTCTTTTGGGAGCACGTGGTCGGACACAGCGCAGTAGCGGCAGATCAGTGCTACGCCGAGTTCTACGACAACTGGTACTTCCTCCTGTGTGCATCCACCCTGGAGTTCTTTGTGCCACTGCTCCTGGTGATCTACTTCAATATGCACATCTTCCACAGCATCCAGAGGCGCCAGCGGCAAGGCGGTATGCAGGACTGTGAGCCTCCAAGGAGCAGCAGCCTGTCCTGGAGATTTTGCCCTTTGCCAAGATTAGGGGCATCTTCTTCCTCGGAAGCAAAGGGCAGTGTTTCTTCTTCCGTGAGACCAAAGAAAGAGTCTTTGGTAACCGACTGCTCATCTCCATCAAAAGAGAATTCTGTTACTCCAGAAAATGACTTTTCTGTTTCCCTCTGTTCAAAGACTAGGTCAAAACTGCATCAGGACAAGAAAATTGCAAAGTCACTTGCCATAATTGTCTGTGTGTTTGCCATTTGCTGGGCCCCATACTCTATACTGATGATTGTTCGTGGGGCCTGCCAGGGAACTTGTGTCCATAATGCCCTGTATGAAGCAACTTTTTGGCTTTTATGGATCAATTCCTCTCTGAATCCATTTCTCTACCCTCTATGTCATGTTAAATTTCGAATGGCTTTTCTGAAAATATTAAGTCCCAAAAAGTTTGCCACATTGAGATCAGGATCCTTTTAGAAGGAAAAAACAAAAAGAAGAGCTGGATGAGGAATGTAAATTGCCACAGTTTGAAACGAGATTTAGGCTTTTCCAAGAGACTAGTCTAGTTGGAAAGTCTAAATAAGCCTTCTGTGAAATGTGAAGTGTCCTCCTTCAGAAAAAAACACATGGCCAAGTTTTATGGCCTTTTCCCAGCTATTTCAAATGGCCACTTCAAGGCTATTACCTCTGTCTGACTTTGCCTTGTAGTCTCTCCATGTTATCTTAATTCTGGTTGCTGAAGATACTATCTTCAGTTGCACTGCAACTTATATTTGTGTTTACGTTTGATATGAGTTAAAAATACAATGAAATTGGGTATTTGCTGCAGTATTTTAAAGTTACTACCTTCTCTGTTCTATTTCTTTTGAACAATTTGTATTGCATTCAGAATCTAATTTTTCCCTACATCAAACATCCAGTTAAGTTATGAGTTTTATTGCCAGACAGCTAGCAGGATTATTTAGTTTCACTAAAGGTTTTTGGCCATTTTTCAAAAACTTGAGTGTATGTGTTCCCTGTAGAAGAGCATTACTCTGTGTATATGCTCAGATGCAGCAGTAGAGAATTCAGGTGTGTAAAGCATTTATGTGAATGCCCAGCTATTCTTCAAGAAACAAGACTTCTACAGCTGTAGTTTTGAGAGATCATAGGAAAGCATAGTATTTGTTCTTACTCCTTGAGGGCTAATATCCACTGCTGCTGGCTGAGGGAAGGTGTGGTGGTGCATCCCCACTTCCCCATGGGCAACATTGTGATCTGAAGCTGAAGATGGGATGCAACAGACGAAAATAACATAATGCAAAGAATGCATGAAAGAAATATATAATTTAAAAAAAAAAGACCAAAAGGGAAGAATCTTAATTCTGATATTTTTAAAGTTTTTAAAATACTAGGAAACACTGATGGATGGTCAGCCTTTTGGGAAAAAACTTGTGCAAGATTCAGGCGTGAAGTGCTGAGGAAGAAGAGTCATCCTTACACCTGCAGGTGAAAACATGAATGTGAGTTCAATGTCAGGAGAATGATAGTCAGAGACACAGCCCTTATTTGCCTGTGTAATCACTAATTAATTAAAAAAGCTGCATTATGACAGATCCAATAAGAAGATGTTGGTATTATCTCCAAACAGACCACGTGATTACTCAGCCCAGCCTGGTCTTGCTCCACTGTCACACTCAGCTGTTGAGGTGAAAAGTTACATCCTTCTAAAGACTTTGGCCTATTATAATTTCCTTTGATTATTTTTTCCTTCCTGTTACATTTCTGTTTGACCTAACAGAGGCTAAAATGCAAACTTATGAAGCCTCTGGTGTAACTGAGTTTACAAAAGCATATTGGTTTTTTTATCTCCTCTCCAGCATTCTTTGAATAGACTTCTTTCTTGTTATTTTGACTAAATGTCATCTTTTTAGTCAATGCCTAAACAGCACTGCCCATTTTAAGATCTTGGCCAATAAGCTGGGCTTGTAATAACTGCTAAGAGTGAGCAGATATATATATATCCAAAGCAGATCAGAATATAAAACACAAGTGCCAATACACCCATCTGTTTTCCTTAAGTGCAGTGTGTACCAGCCTTTTACCCTGCAAAGCTTTTGTCATTCTTTTAAAATACAGCTTTTAAAGTCAGTAATGATGAACGTGTGCAAACAGATCCTTTTGTGCCAGCTTTTAGAACAAATGGCTCCTTAATGTTTATGAGACATACTTTTGATAGTGTTAGCAATAGGGATTCAAATATCTCATTATGAAGATTCAAATATCTAGTTCTGGTTAGGTTTTTAAAATGATATCTTTAGAAATTTAGCCATTGCCATGTGTAGATAAGGACGCATACTCTTATATTTATGACATTATATTTTTTTTGTTCTTCCTCGCTCATGTCTTATAGTCTGGACTCAATGATGTCAGAGGTCTTTTCTAACCTAGTTGACCCTGTGATTCTGTCTTTTGCTTGCTTCTCATACCAGCCTGCTCTCTGCCACAGCTCCTTGGTACAGGCCAGAAAACCAGCTGGATGCTGGTATCAACAGGGACTTATTTATAAGCTGCCTGAGGCCTTGTGAAGTCAGCGACAGTGCCCTGTGCAAAGGCAAGGAAAAGCAAGCTGAGTTTAGTTGATACAAGCCTAGGTCGTCTGAGGGCAGTGAAACAACTAACGCTCCCTCCATTTGGGCTAACTTGATGTGTTAAAAGTTGTCAGAATCAATACTCTAACTGGACAGTGCTTTTTGGTGCAAACTTGGTTTTAGGGGCATGGGCAGACATTTCAGGAATGTCTCTGGCTCATTTCTGGTACCCTTTGCAACTGTACCAGGAAATAAATTTAAAATATAATTGTCTTGTCTCTGTCAGTTTTTCTGGGCTATTGTTAGTAGCGTAGGGGAGTAAGAAAGAAGCTAGTGGGCAAGAAAAATTGGGTGGTTTAGATGAGGGGCTAGATTAGTCTTTTTATTCTTCTGATGTAGAAGTTATTAGCAGCAGAGAAAGGCATGGGACCATAGAGTCACAGAATCATAGCATCAATACTATGGTTTGGGTGGGAGGGGGCCTTAAAGATTATCTAGTCCCAACATCCGTGTCCTGGGCAGGGAGACGTCCCACTGGACTAGGTTGCTCAAAGCCCTATCCAGCTGGGCCTTGAACGATTCCAGGGATGGGGCATCCACAACTTCTCTGGGCAACCTCACCAGCCTCATAGTAATGAATTTCTTCCTAATTTTTCAAGATAAACCTACCCTCTTTCAGTTTAAAGCCATTCCCCCTTGTCCTATCACTACCTGCCCTTGTAAAAAGTTCTTCTCCAGCTCTCTGGCAGGCCTCCTTTAGGTTTAAGGTCTCCCTGGAGCCTTTGCTTCTGCAGGCTGAACAACCCCAACTCCCTCTGCCTGCCCTCACCTAGGGGAGGTTCTCCAGCCCTTGGATAATCTTTATATCCCTCTTCTGGACTTGCTCCAGCAGGTCAATGTCCTTTTAATGTTGGGGATCCCAGAGCTGGACGCAGCAGTCCAGGTGGGGTCTCACAAGATCTCTGTACATTGTACCCCTTATCCTTCAGCCAAGCTGCAGAAATATTGGGAACTGTCAGGGGGAAGTTTTAGACCAGGAAGATTCTTATGGACTGTGAATCTCTGTGGAAGTTGCACAAGTAAACTGCATTACTGACCTAAGTGCTGATGACATGAAATTTTTCCTATACTGGTCTGAACTCATAGTCAGTGCAGGTCCTGCAGGCCATGGCATGGGATCTGTGCTAATGAAAGACATTGGTAAGGGTGCTGGTTAGAGGGAAAATCTGATACTGCCGTCAGAAGCAAATTTCACTTCTGCCTTGGATTGAGAGAACCATTTGGAATTTTTTACATTTGCATTATTTCATGAGAGTGATCAGACAACTTCCTGCCTTCATATATATGTATATATATATAAATAAATATATATATATATAAGGTGTTGTATATATATATAAATAAATATATATATATATAAGGTGTTGTTTCAAAATACCAGAAATACCTGAAAATTGCTATGAAAATGTGTGAAGAAAAAGTTTTAATAAACAAAATTCAGTTGTGTATCTAAGACCAAAAGCTAGAGTTGAATAAAAGACAGTGCCACGCTTTTTAGGAGGAATTTGTCTAGATCTTGGAAAGTTGTAAGTTGGTTTTTTTTTTTCAGTTTCATTACTGAACAACAGCTTAGTTCTTCATAAAAAATATTCTTTGGGCTCTAACCAAAATTCTGATGCAGGATCTGTTGCTGACCAAATCTTAGTCAAGAACAGTTAAGTCTTATTGTTATTTGTGTGAGTGCCTTGTGGGCACCCAGTATGACTTAACTGCCATGACTGTCCTCCCCTGGAGATCCACCCCTGACATCCTGGCCTTGGGCCCAGGAACATGGTTAGACTGCGGTGGTCCTGGACTGAGCTACCTGAGTGCCTGTAGGCTGCTTGGAGCTCCATCTTTTGCATTTTTTAGAGGTTTTGATTGGACTTCTGACTTTGGCCTCAGAAGCAGACTGTTTCCATTCTTCATTCCACTGGTAATCACTAGGAATTGCCCTCCCAAGACTTTTCCCCTCTAGTTTTTTTTTCAGGATCTGGCTACTATACTTCAAGCTGGATCAAACTTTCCTGCCTTTAAATGTTTGTGAAGTGCTCTGATCTTCACTTGTGTGCATACCTGTTCTCTCATTTTCTCTCCTTGCTAAACAACTCTGCCTCAAATTTTTATCTTAAATATGTGGAATTTTTTTGGTAAAAATTCTCCCTTATTACTCTGTCTTTAAAGAAGACAGACCTATTGGTTGCAACAAGACTCAATATAACCAGCAGCGACTGTTCACTGATATGCTCTCTCTTGATCTGTGGAAACCTTTAAAAGTCAGATGCTCTTTTTCTCTGTTTTCTGTAGGACAAGGTACAATATTTGTGTTTGTTCTCTTCACACTGGTGTTTCTTGGTCACTCTACCTAGGCCATTTTACTTCTCACTCGTAGGGATGAGAGCAGTCACACTGCAGTGTAGGTGCCTTGTAAAGCAGCAGGCCAGCTTTCCCCAACCACCTGCATTGCCAACAAAATCAGTGTGATTTAGGAGGGGTCTGACTTAACCCCTTGAGACTACAGTTGAGAGAGGCTGTTCATCCCCTGGTAGACTTGTGAAGGTGTAGTGGGTTGACCTTGGCCAGATACCAGGTACCCACTAAAGCCGCTCTCTCACTCTCCCTCTGTAACTGGACAAGGGAGAGAGAAAAAACAGCTGAGAATTCATGAGTAGAGATAAGAGCTGGGAGTGGTCAGTGGCTGATTACCTTCACAGGCAAAACAGGACTCAAAGTGAGGATAGTACTTATATTTGTTACTAACAGGATAAGAGCCAAAGAGTGAGAAATAAAAGTCTTAAAAATGACTTCCCCCCACCCTTCCTTCCTTCCATGTTCTCTCTCCTCCCTCCCAGCGGTGCAGGGGGATGGGGAATGAGGATTATGGTCAGTTGTTGTTTCTGCCGCTGC